GCTCTAGAGCTGGGCTTGGTCTCAGAGCTGGGCTGGGCTCTAGAGCTGGGCTTGGTCTCAGAGCTGGGCTGGGTTCTAGAGCTGGGCTTGGTCTCAGAGCTGGACTGGACTGTAGAGCTGGGCTTCATCTCAGAGCTGAGCTGGGTTCTAGAGCTGGGCTTGGTCTCAGAGCCGAGATCGGTTGTGGGACTGGGCTTCATCTCAGAGCTGAGCTGGGTTACAGAGCTGGGCTTGGTCTCAGGGAGGAACTGAGTCCTAGAACAAGACTTGGTCTCCGTGCTGGGCTTGGTCTCAGAGCTGGACTGGACTGTAGAGCTGGGCTTCATCTCAGAGCTGAGCTGGGTTCTAGAGCCGGGCTTCATCTCAGAGCTGACCTGGGTTACAGAGCTGGGCTTCATCTCTGAGCTGAGCTGGGTTACAGAACTGGGCTACATCTCAGAGCTGAGCTGGGTTCTAGAGCCGGGCTTCATCTCAGAGCTGACCTGGGTTACAGAGCTGGGCTTCATCTCTGAGCTGAGCTGGGTTACAGAACTGGGCTACATCTCAGAGCTGAGCTGGGTTCTAGAGCCGGGCTTCATCTCAGAGCTGACCTGGGTTACAGAGCTGGGCTTCATCTCTGAGCTGAGCTGGGTTACAGAACTGGGCTACATCTCAGAGCTGAGCTGGGTTCTAGAGCCGGGCTTCATCTCAGAGCTGACCTGGGTTACAGAGCTGGGCTTCATCTCTGAGCTGAGCTGGGTTACAGAACTGGGCTACATCTCAGAGCTGAGCTGGGTTACAGAACTGGGCTTCATCTCAGAGCTGAGCTGGGTTCTAGAGCTGGGCTTCATCTCAGAGCTGAGCTCGGTTGTGGGACTGGGCTTCATCTCAGAGCTGAGCTGGGTTACAGAGCTGGGCTTGGTCTCAGGGAGGAACTGAGTCCTAGAACAAGACTTGGTCTCCGTGCTGGGCTTGGTCTCAGAGCTGAGCTGGGTTCTAGAGCTGGGCTTGGTCTCAGAGCTGGGCTGGACTGTAGAGCTGGACTCCACCTCTAAGGTGGCCTGGGCTCCAGAGCTTAGCGTGGCCTCAGATCTGGGCTGGATTCGAGAGGAGGCCTGGATCCCGGAGACTGGTTGAGTTTCCAAGCTGGACTGGGCTCTAGAGCTGACTTTGGTCTCAGAGCTGAGCTGGGCTCTAGAGCTGACTTTGGTCTCAGAGCTGAGCTGGGCTCTAGAGCTGGGCTTGGTCTCAGAGCTGGGCTGGGCTCTAGAGCTGGGCCGGGTTCTAGAGGAGGGCTGGCTTCTGGAGCCAGGCTGGGTCTCAGAGCTGCACTGGGCTCTGGAGGCAGACCTGGCCTCCAAGCTGGACCGGGCTCTGGAGCAGGGCTGGGGCCGGGGGCTGGGCTCTGGACTGGGGCTGCGCCCAGCCCCGGGGCACACTAGCCACAGGCCTGCCTGGCCTCGCCGATGGCGGCCCACACCTCCACCACGAACTCGTCCGGGAAGGCGAACTCGCCCAAGACGGCGTCTAAGCAGCGCGCAAACTCCTGGACCCCCGCCGTCTTCTTGGATGTCTCCACCATGGTGGCCGCTGCATGGGCGGGAGGAGTGGTGAGGGCACCCCCTCCCAGCTTCCCGGGCGCCCCGCCTCCCCCGGGACGGCCCTCCCCTGGGGGCCCCCAGCTTACCCTGGCCCCTTACCCAGCTCTGGGTCCCGAATGCCCATGTAACTCTCCAGCAGGTCGTCCACCTTCCGAGACGCCTCCTCCTCGAACTCGCTGGGCTGGGTGGGGGGAAAGCAGAGGCGCAGCCTGGAACCCACGCAGCCCCGCACCCTCCACGCCCCCACGTGTGGCAGAGCCACCTGGACCTCAGGAGTCAGCTCCCCTGAGCCGGGCCGCGGGCCGTGTAGGCGGCTGTTTTAGGGGTGGGACACTGAGGCCCGGAGAAGGGGGAGGGCGGCATGCTCATGGCTTGGCAGCTGGGGTCCGGCGGCCAGAGCCGGGGTGCCCACGCCTCCACTCACCGCTTCCTCCACCGTGGCGGCCCCCCCGGGGCGGAGCCGCAGGGTCTCCCTCCCACTGGTCACTCTCGCTTCTGCGGGACACTTACTGCTCCGACTGCGCTGGCCGATCATATCTGGGGGAGGGTCGGACGTGTTTCCCACACACCACGAAGCCCGGCTGAGCCCTTCCAGAACCTTCTTACCTTCCACCCCCTCCTCCGTCCCTGGGACAGATCATCAGAGACCCACTGGAGTCCGCGCACCTGACCCGGGCCCAGCCCTGACCCTGCTCAGCCCAGGCAGGTCCCAGAGCCCCATCCTCCTGGAAAGGGCTGCCAGGAGCCTTCGGGGGCTGGAGGGTCTCTCCGGAGAAGTCCGTGCTGGAGCACTGGGGCTCCCTGGGTTGGCCGCGGCCCTGGGAGGTGGGGCCGCGCTGCAGGGCAGGTCTGGGGCCCCTGCTGCCCTCAACCCGGGACCTCTCTCCAGGTGCACGAGGGCACCTGAGCTCCAGAGCGCCTACCCCGGGCCATCAGCGATGGGACGCGGAGGGTGCCGGGTTAATGTGGGCACCGCGCCCGCCTGGGGCAGGCCTTCCTGCGGGAGCTGCCCCATAGAGACAGAGCGAGACCATCCCGGGCAGGGTTCTCTCTGGGACAGCAGTAGTCACGGCCGGGCATGGTGAGGCTGCCACCCTAGTGTCCTGGACGCGTCCAGAGAACGGCCCGGCCCCACGTCAGCCGTGCCCAGTGGGACCCCAGCTCTCACTGCGGCGTGGCCCACTGCACCCCGAAAAGTGCCCTTCTGTGGCAGCCCTGAGCCTGGTGGGGACAGGAGCCGGATCCCACATGGTTGGTCACAGTTCGAATCCCAGCCTGGTGACTTGAAAAGCACAGCAGGCACACCCCAAGCCCCCGCGGATGGAGGGAGGAAGGGGGTTTCAGCTTCACTGTGCCCCGCTGGGCTGCAGCAGGCTTTCTCACTTTCCTCTCCTCTCTACCTCCCTCTGGGGAGCACACACGGCTTACAGAGCCGGGTCCCACGTGGTTGACTGCGGTTCGAGTCCTGGACCTGGCGGCTTGAAAATCACACCGGGCAGGTGTGTGTGCATGCCCCAAATCCCCAGGAGAGCTCGGAGGAGAGGGAATGCGGGGTGGCCATCCCCAGGGGGGAGTAGCTCTCACTTTCCCCTCTCTGTCTCTCTCTGATGAGCGCTCACCCCTAGAGCAAAGCTAAAATAATGGGCGAGAAAACCACCATTCTAGAACTCACTTGGAAAAGCGCCTCGCTACAACACACTGTGACCGCAAACCACTGCTTTCGGAGCACCCGGCCAGACACGAAGCGGGTGTAGACAGCTCCTCGCCCTCTCCCGGGCATGGTGAGGCTGCCCCCCTAGTGTCCTGGACGCGTCCAGAGAACGGCCCGGCCCCACGTCAGCCGTGCCCAGTGGGACCCCAGCTCTCACTGCGGCGTGGCCCACTGCACCCCGAAAAGTGCCCTTCTGTGGCAGCCCTGAGCCTGGTGGGGACAGGAGCCGGATCCCACATGGTTGGTCACAGTTCGAATCCCAGCCTGGTGACTTGAAAAGCACAGCAGGCACACCCCAAGCCCCCGCGGATGGAGGGAGGAAGGGGGTTTCAGCTTCACTGTGCCCCGCTGGGCTGCAGCAGGCTTTCTCACTTTCCTCTCCTCTCTACCTCCCTCTGGGGAGCACACACGGCTTACAGAGCCGGGTCCCACGTGGTTGACTGCGGTTCGAGTCCTGGACCTGGCGGCTTGAAAATCACACCGGGCAGGTGTGTGTGCATGCCCCAAATCCCCAGGAGAGCTCGGAGGAGAGGGAATGCGGGGTGGCCATCCCCAGGGGGGAGTAGCTCTCACTTTCCCCTCTCTGTCTCTCTCTGATGAGCGCTCACCCCTAGAGCAAAGCTAAAATAATGGGCGAGAAAACCACCATTCTAGAACTCACTTGGAAAAGCGCCTCGCTACAACACACTGTGACCGCAAACCACTGCTTTCGGAGCACCCGGCCAGACACGAAGCGGGTGTAGACAGCTCCTCGCCCTCTCCCACTCTGCCCGCTGTCCCCTCCCTCCGGCCAGTGGACCGGATCAGTCCCGCCATGCACCGGGCGCCCGCCTCCCCCTGGGCCCCAGGTGGCCCTCACCGAAGGCTCTCTTGGGCTGCACCAGCCGCAGGGTGAAGGGCTGGGCCTTGGGCAGCTCGCGCAGTATCCGGGCCACCTCGTAGTGGCGGCAGCCCACGATGGAGTGGTCGTTGATGGCCTCGATGCTGTCGCCCACGCACACGGCCTGCGTCCGGTTAATGATACTGCCTTCTTTGATCCTCTGTGGGGACCCGGAGTCACTCGGGGGGTCGGGCCACCCCTGGGGGCCCCAGACCCAGAGAGGGCCAGTCGCTCCTCCGGGTCACCCAGCCCCGCCCCGCCCGGCACCTTGATGAAGGCGTAGCCGGCCCCGTTGTCGGTGATGGTCAGCCCCAGCGCGTCCTCCGTCTTGGTGACCTCCACCTCCTTGGTCTCCCCGCGCACGTGCGCGAAGATGAAGTCCTCCAGCCCGATCTGGCCGCCTAGCAGTTTGTGCATGTCCACTTTGTGGCTGTTGAGGGTGCAGAACAGGATCTGCGGGGGAGAGGGGCCCGCTGAGCCCACAGCCGCGGGGCTGCACCGCCAGTGGCCGGGCCACCCCGGGAACCCGGGCGGAGAGACACAACCTGGCCCACACACCCGCAGGCCAGGACCCCAGCCTTTGGAACCCCCAGGAGGGGAGGGGAGCAGCCCTGGGTGGGAGGAGACCCTCTCCCACCGCTCAGACATCCCGGTTTAGGGATTAACCCTCCGCGTCCTCACTCCCGCTCCTGCCGTCGCTTTCCCGGGCGGTTGTGGGTGTGCGGGCGCCCCCTGGCGGCTGCGAAGCGCGCGAGCCGGGGCCGGGAAATCCCCAGCACCCCCGACGGCCTCAGGCTGCCCACCCGTAAGGGGGCTGCCTGGCACCCCAGTCCTCAGCTGCACCCAGGAGCCAAGGCGGCGCTCCCTCAGGGCCGGGAGCCACTTCCGACTGGGTCCTGCAAGATCTGGAATCCACTGGCCCTGAGACCTGCTCTTTTGCGGGGACAGCACCCCGAGACAGCACCCCAGGGTCTGGGAACTGCGTCTCAGCTCTGGCGAGCAGGCGCCGCCATCCGGGGAGCTGGGGATCCGGAGATCCCGGGCCTCCGTCTAGGATCCAGGCTCCGCGGTCGCCCAGGGGCGCTCGGGCCGGGGCGCCGCGGTGCTCACCTCGGTGGGCGCGATCCCGAAGGCCTCGGCGATCTTGGCATAGAGTTCGCGCACGTTGGTGAAGCCCTCGATCTTGCCGGTGGGGCTGCCGTGCGCCAGCTGCGTGCGGAAGACCAGGCGCGGGCGGGGGCCGGGGGGGGG